TGCTAAAATCTGAATCCAGAAGGTCTGATTCCGGAGCTCTAGCTTTTGCTACTACATTATAATGTCTGATTTTGTCGTCACCATTGTTTCTGCAGAGACATTTTAACCGCTGAAGTAAGAACAGCAAAAGATTCGGAGAAGGAAGAGCCTCTGAAGGTTTGACAGAAGCAGATGTGAACAGTGGGTGATCACAGCGTCTGTTCCACATTTATGTCTATTACAGGTTCTAGAATTCAAGAAGACATCTTTCTTCTTTTCAAAACGAAGGTGGATACGTGACAACATTGGTTCAATCGCATTGCGGTGGCTGCTGTTGGTGTTATAATTGAGAAGCCAGAAGGACAGAAAAAACCTCAAGTTAAAAACCAAATAGGTAGCTCTGGGCCGTAACAGCAGCCCTTTCACTGACTGCGGGGTCCTAGGCTCCTTCTATGCATTAATCCTGACTTCCTTCTGGTAAAAGCAGATCATGCCTCATAAAGGTAAAATTAGATACTGGATGTGGGCCAGTTTGAAGATCACAAAGCAGCGTTCAAATGAAAGGCTTACTTTAGTAAGGAAGTAATGTTCGTTAAAAAACATCACTAATATCAGTTTGTCGATCAACTACCCTGCAGTTGTTGCATTTTATAAGAGTGTACTGGAAAGCTTCAGGGTCTTCACGTAGAGGCGCTAACTCTCCTGTCTTACAAATGCCACTTCCTCCAAGATGTCTTGCTCTCCCAAGCACCAACCACAGGCTGCTCCATACTTTGATTATTGGATTATTTATTCGTTTCCATGACTGTCCTTCCCAGTAAACAGAGTCCCTAGAGGCAATGGCTATTTTACTTCACACTGTGTATGTCCCAGCAGACAACCCGCTGCATAAATATGGAATAAATGATATAGACAGAAAACAATCCAAGAAGACAGAGATTACATCTTCCATGTCTGCGTCCATTTTCTCCACTTTTGGAGGCTCTGGATTGTTGCATACAAAGATTAAATATCTACTATCCAGAGCAACCACATCAGCATGGCCAGGTTCCAAAATCCAAATCTATTCTGAAAAGCCAGCAGCCCTCTGACAAGAGGAAAAGTAGAGGAAATCAGGAACGTGACCATAGAGCAACAGAGCTAATTTTCATTTGTGACTGTAAATTCATTCTCCTTGTTTTGCAGTCATGCCTGGTAAATTAAGAGGATTACCAAGGTATCTTCCAGCAGAGCTTCCTGCTTTAATGAGTAAATCATCTATAAAAAAGCAGGGTTCTTTTGCTGAAAGTACTTATAAATGGAATGTGGTCTTCTGGAAGATAAACAGGCAGCACTGAACAAATGAGAAGGCCCATTCTTCAAAAAAAAAAAAAAAAATGGTCAGAAAATGTGGTTTCTGCTAGATAACAGAAAGGAAAGCAGTATGGATGGCTTCCCAAAGGTAATAGCTGTGAACGGACACGTCTGATATTCAACTCATTAAAATCAGTTACGCTAAAGGTATTTATGAAATAGACTTAATAGCTTTAGAACAGAATTCTCATGCATATAAGACAGTTTCTTCAAGCTTCTGACCTCATCACTGAACAAATAGCTGAGTTCTGTTTTGTGGCAAAATTACGTTCTCCTCTACAAACACTGGCAGTCAACTATTTAGCAATTCTCCTGCCGGAAATATCCTCCTGCATCTAAACTCACCTAAATTGATGTAAAAAATAAAAATGAAGAAATGCTAAGAAGGCTCTGAAGAGCGTCACTATGCAAAATAACACAAACCTAATCCGTGTGTCAAATAAGAAAACTCCTAACTTAGTTCTACCGGGAAATGGCGTTCAAAAACTCAAATTTAATTCTTTACACTCAACCTAAGAGTTTACATTCTTACAATCTATACCTGGGAAAATTTTTAAAAATATTATTATGAAATTAAAGTGTAATGTGGTATATTTTTTATCTTGTTATTTACCTGATCAACATCATTGCTGAACTAAGGATTGGTAGGTTCAAGATATCCACTTTATACACTTGGTACAGTACTGAGCACATACGTACGTGACATGAATCCATGTGAAGGTGCTATCGCTTACCCTTTTTGCTCTATGAGAGTGATAGAATTTTCTTGCATACGTCATTCTCAGGAGAGAGTGGAGAGTTCTATCATCACAGCAGAACTGGGCTCTGCCTTCTCCTCCTCTGAACTATGAATGGTGTGGGTACTGCTCGAAAGATTCACTACTGTCTCCTGAGCCATGGTTCACGGTGATTCACCACACGCTAGGACCACAGTACGTGTAATTACAGTCAGAGTGTTGAGGCCACACTCCTCAAATTCTGGCTTCACTGAGTATGTGTAAAAAATGAAAAATCACAGCGAAGAATATGTTCCACACACAATAACTAGTATTACCAGGCAGGGAGGAGGCAGTGGATGGTAGGGCAACAGGGATCACCTGCAAGGCCAGGCCACACTGAACAGTCAAGACAGTCTGGGTATTCAGATGCTCCTACGGTATTTTTGGGGGGAAGTGCAAAATGACACAAGATCGTCATGTCGCTTCAGAGGTTAAAAACATGTGCCTCTTTTGTAATATATGTGGTTGTGCCTCGGGGCCTATTAGGGATTTATCATTTACGGGCATATCTAATGTTTTTATAAACTGGGCTCCAACTCAAATTAATTCCTGAGGTTATGGCGTTCATTAGCCTATAAACATCTGTGTAGAAGAGTAAAATGTAATTATCCAGGAGGAGAAGAAAATTAGACTGAACTACACTTGACTGTCTCTCCTGGGATACATATTGTGTGTGTGTGTGTGTGTGTGTACCATCTCTAATTTTCTGGTTAGTTGTGCTTCCTCAAACATTTTTGACGGAGCTTTCTAGAGGTTTTCTATTGTCAGCTTGGCATTCAATTGTTTAGCATAAAGTGGGTTTCAGTGTCTATGAACAATTTTCAGTATTTGAAACATCCTAAGTAAACTCCTATATTTCCTAAAATATCTCACTGGTAACTTAAGGTCCCCAACTTGAAATTCTCAGACCTCCAGGAGGCCACACATTTGTAATGTAAATGTTAACGAAAACAACAATTTGTCCACGGTCTTTGAAAAAATATATTTAAGAAACTACAAGTCAGAAAATCAAATTCTAGGAATTCTGTCCTTTATAGTGCCTCATTCAAAAAGGGGTTGAGACATGCGCAGCTCAGTAAATAAACACACCAGACCATAAGCTCTTCCTGGCAGGGAGCTCTACCCCCTGACCTGTTTATACGTCCCAACACCCCCAGTAAAATAGAACACCGGTAATAAATCTTCACTAGCTCTACGAACAGTTATATTTCGTCGCAAAATCAAAGTTCTTGAAAAAAGAAAACTAAGACCACGTTAACTGGCAGAATTCAGAAAAACAAGTTTTCCCGGGCCCTTAATTTGTATTCCTGTAACCTAAAATCTCACTATGAATCAGCAGTCAAATCAGAAGCCGTATAACTATGGTGTCTCCAACCAGTGTTAACGGAAGCATAGCGCAAGTTCAATGAAATACACTATGGTTCCAAAGTTGTCTTGTCTAATGTTTAGGTAAATACCATTTTTTCCTGCCTGTCAAAGCCAGAAATCCCAACTACGGCACAAATGGACAAACATCGGAGACAGCACTGGCTCAGTCTACTTTGATGGAAGGGGATTTCTAGTCCCCTGATGGCAACAGGAACTGTTTACTGCACTCTACAGGGAGTTCCTAACATACTGTACTGGTTTCTGGTATCAGGGACGCCTCCATGCAGCAGGGAGGTGAAAATGAATCTGCCTCCCAAATAGGGTTTCTACCCACACAGTCTTGGAATGCAGCAACTCAGTCACCAGAATACATTTTTTTTCCAGTTTATGTTGTAATACATCAGTTCTTAAATGCGTATTTCAAAGGCACAACAGAGTACGCTTTCATTCGGTTCACGCCACATTCACTCACCGTGTTTAACGAACAACCTTGCACCAATGTGTCCTCATCACCCTGACACTTACCTGTATGACATGAATGGGTGTGAAATATTCAAACCGTGTTATCTAATATGATTATATTAAACACAGTCCCTATAACCTGACTAGGTGCTTGAAAATCCAGAATCACAGAATTACTACATCATTTATGTGATTTTTAAAGTCTTAAAGCACTGGTAAAGATCTTTAATCAGATAGATGATAAATAGAGGATAAATAGATTTGACTCATTTATTTCCTTCCTTAGTTGCGAACAGTGCTCACTCACTTAATCACGCACCCTAGCTACAATAATTAAAATGTAAATTTAAATTTTTTTTTTCAACGTTTATTTATTTTTGGGACAGAGAGAGATGGAGCATGAACGGGGGAGGGGCAGAGAGAGAGGGAGACACAGAATCGGAAACAGGTTCCAGGCTCTGAGCCATCAGCCCAGAGCCTGACGCGGGGCTCGAACTCCCGGACCGCGAGATCGTGACCTGGCTGAAGTCAGACACTTAACCGACTGCGCCACCCAGGCGCCCCTAAAATGTAAATTTAAATATACATAAAGGAAATGAAACATATATACGTGTTATATTATGTATATATCTATATATAACATATATACGTATATACGTATATGCGTATATACGTATATATGTGTGTGTGTGTACATGTGTTAGGGCACATGACTAAGTTGGTGAGCCCCGTTCAGAACTAAGGAAGTAGAGGCCAGAGAGTATCAGCTGGATAGAAAGCACTTTATGGCTCCTCGTTATGTTAACGTGTTTACCTCTCATTTCCTAGGAAGACGATTTTCTAAAGAAGTGGATTGATGATTTCACTGCTAGTCTACATCATATACAGCTCACGGTAACTGCTGCCTACTCGGACGGACTGACACGAAAGCGTATGGTCGCGATTCGGGAACGATCATACTTAACGAGGAGAGAGCAGAGCAGAGAGAGGTCTTAATCGAGGAGCACAGATACAGGAGGGAGAGGGGCTCTCAAGAGCACATAAAGAAGAGTCACCTACCAGCTCCACTCGTCCGAAGCCCCCGACTCCAAGGGTGTCGATGATGTTGAAGTCAGACAGCTTCAGGTTGGCGAAGAAAGCGGCTTCGGCTTCGTATCTGGATTTTTTGATGCGAAAAAACGGAAATTTCTTAGAGGTGCAAACACGAGAACCACACACGACCGCCCCGGGTTGACAGGCCTGTGGCACAGGGTTTACCTGCTCAGATTCCATCTTTGCTTTTAGAGTCTCTGTGTCCTCACCATCATAATGTTTTGGTCCCAGTGGTGCAAAGTAACCAAGATTTGCACTTGTGGGTCAGAGGAGAATGGGACCAGGTACCTGGTGCCTGCCAGTCATGTGACCGATAAATCCGATTACCAGACCAAAGTCACATCGCAGTGCTTTCCTGCGCGTCTTCCTGTGAGCACGGATGGCTGGGGCGGTTCTTTTTTGGTTTTGCTTGGGGATTTTTGGTTTTGCTGGGTTTGGTTTTGGCCGTCCCGCTGGGGGACGGCAGTTTCTCATTAGTCGCCCTTATCCACAGGCTGCCAGCGGCTCCCGTTAGTATCCACTGAAAGCGGCAAGATCACCGAGGTCCCTGGAGCGACATCACAGCCGGGGTTTATGAAAACAGATCCGAAAAGCTGAGGACGGGGGTGCGAATGTCCGAAACGGAGGGTTTCGGAAGCCCATTCACATTCCTAAAAAGTGTCCTCCTCCGTTTATGTGTACCCACGGCTTCTGAGCCGGGAGTCCCAGGGCCTTTATCTTTAGGAGAAGCGAGGGCTGTGCTCCCAAAGTCTAACTGTGCCCCGTGCTGATCTGACCCATGCGAGCGGCCAGGATAGGCTTCCCCTGACGAGACGCTCAAAATATCTTCTTGTCAGAGGCCCTACTATTTTTAGAAAGGGCAGGAAGGCGTAACAGTCATGTCATTAATGTCTCACTGATGTCAGGTCAGGGAGTGATACAGCTGTCTCAGTAATCAAGTATTTGCACAGCTATGCGTAACCCGTGACCTTCGGCCGGGCGGTCCCTGGCTCGGTCCACGCTATACATAGACATGATGATACACCTTTGGGACGGGGACACGGGCACTGCTCGTTTCTGTCAGGTTTTGGACACAGCCACCCGAAGGCGTGTTTGGCATCAAGCCGTGTAACACTTTAGCTCCTCCCTTGTAATCGAACACACATTAGACTCTCCACTTGGGAGGAAGGTGAGGTTTCTAGGTGACATTTTAACGTTCTCCAATCTACCGCCACAGTCCCAGATTCGAACAATTCTTGACAGACTCTCGAGACAACCTGGTTTTCACGACCGGCTGGTTACATGAACTCAGCTCCCTCTAATAAACCCCTATAGACGAGGCAGCTGGCCAATCCTGAGGGCATCTGTAGACTTCTCTCATTATCGACACAACCAGGAGATTAGCTTCACAGTTCAGGAGGTGGTTTACTAGAATGGACATAAGCAGCAAATGGGCATTTCTAGCATTCCAACGGGCCCACTACTTCTGGAAAATTAAAACTCCATCCCATTTAAAGGGCAGAGTTCACTTCAACAGGTGCTTTCCAAGGACATCTGTTGGGATCAGACCCTGTGACAGTTTCTATGTGGTCAAGCATTTCCTGGCGGGCCAGATAGTCAGATTCTTAAGGAGACTGTTTTTGAATAATATCCTATGTGCCTGCTGGATTGAGAAACTCAGATATGAAGAGGGTAAACTCAGGCTATTTTGATAACATTTTATATATTTACAGTGTGGTGTTCTCACAGCTCCTTAAGATACTTTTGGACTCTTACACTTGGGCTCTGTAAAGTTAGGCTGGTGACACATCTATGCATGTGAACTTCAGCCCTTTGTTGGAACCTCCTGGGCATCCGTCAGGAACCATTTCATCTGAGTCCCACCACACACCGAGTGATTCTGAAATCTTTGCAAACAGGACCCAAATATCTGTATTTTTTTCAAGCTCCCTCAGCGATTCTGATTCACAGCAAGGGTAGAGGGTTATAGGTCCAACCGAGAAGCCTCAGGAACTGCAGAAACCATAGAAACATTTTGGGGTGGGTTAAAATGGTCCTGGGACATCAGTGGCTGCCTGATAAGTCTCAGGGGGATGTGTTCGTGCCAAGAGTGTTGGGGCCTCTCACAATGTGGTCTGGCCTCCTGCCCTTGGACCCTAGACCCTTTGAAATGACCACTAGTTCTGTAATGGCTAACACAGCTTGAAAAAAAAAAAAAAAAAAAAAAAGGCAATGTTGCTAAAACACACACACACACACACACACACACACGGAGAATGCAGAAGTCATAGGTGGCTATTTTGTGTTGAAATTTCTACAGCAAAATCCTCTTGACTTTATGCTTACTATTTGATTAATTATGGATGGTATTTTCATTAATGGGATGGACGTATTACATCTCATGTTAAATAGCAGATATTTTCTCTGTAGCCATCACAATCCACTTAAACATACACTGTTCCACACACTGTAAGCACAACTACCATTACATAAAATATTTCATGTTTTATTTTATTTATTTTTTTTTTAAATTTTTTTTTCAACGTTTATTTATTTTTGGGACAGAGAGAGACAGAGCATGAACGGGGGAGGGGCAGAGAGAGAGGGAGACACAGAATCGGAAACAGGCTCCAGGCTCCGAGCCATCAGCCCAGAGCCCAACGCGGGGCTCGAACTCCCGGACCGCGAGATCGTGACCTGGCTGAAGTCGGACACTTAACCGACTGCGCCACCCAGGCGCCCCAAATATTTCATGTTTTAATGAAAAGAGATTGGCAACACTGTCACTGTCATCATACTTTGTTCATCTTTGCTAATTACTTTGCCAATATTGCTTGGTGACTTGTTAAAATACTACCTAGTAGGGTGATTTTTATCTGGTGGTTGGTGAGATACATTTTGAGGGGCCTTTGGATAATATACTCCTGATGTTCTATTCCATTCTATTCATGCCAGGTTCTGATTCTCAGGGAGGCCAAACAAAGTGGGAATGCCATCACAGTGGTTTTTTTTTTTTTTTTTCTTTCCCACCAAGGGAATATTAGTTGCTTAATATTCTATATGTATTTATTTTTCATTCAGATTACTCTTTATGGACAAGAGTTACATCTGCATCACAGAGACCCTGTCTACTTTTCTTTTTTGAATAACTTTTTGGATTAATAACTTCTTTTTTAATGTGGAAATCACCACTAGAAGGAACCCGTATAAGAAAGTTAAACTACAGATGACTTAGCTTCTTCAGGCAACTCCTCTTGCTCATAACTTGGAGAGACATTTTCATTCTTTCTTTTTACTCAGATTATCTGAAGATAATTTGAATCCATCAACTCTGTTCTGCTTGTTAATGAATTGGTAAAAGTTTTAGTGGGAAAGGAGACTAAATTGGTTAAATCAATGGTTGTTGTTCTATTAACTAAACTTCTTTTGCCTGAAGGAAGTCGGCGTAGAACCCAAGTTCTTAATGGGATACAGGTCCAAGGAACAAGGCCAAGCTTTGTGCAATTCATTTTTTTTTAATCATTAAAAAAATTTTTTTTTTAAATCTTTATTTCAGAGACAGAGAGAGAGACAGAGCAGGAGTGGGGAAGGGGCAGAGAGAGAGGGAGACACAGAATCTGAAGCAGGTTCCAGGTTCCTAGCTGTTACCACAGAGCCCGACGTGGGGCTCGAACTCACAAACTGTGAGATCATGACCTGAGCTGAAGTCAGTCGCTCAACCGACTGAGCCACCCACGCACCCCTGTGCAATTCTAAAATTCATCTGTGCCGTAGTGCTTATGAAAGGGACAACGGCCAGATGCTAGGGGGAAATTCATATCAGTAAGACACAAAGTTCTCCACGTTTAGTTGCTTAAAATCTACAAAGGTATACGAAGTCTCTTTTCTACTGGTTCTCAACTCAGGTTGAGAAACTATTTTTTCAAAAGGAGATTGTTAGCATTATTTTAGTATGGGGTGAAATCTATGGGTTCTCTTCTCAGAAAAGTGCAAATAGCGACATGTCTTTTTTGCATGTGTCAGGGAGCTTACAAAACCCTACAACACAAAAATAACTATACAATGAATTGTATATACAATAAGTTGTGTTGGGTGAAGGAGACAGAGATAACATATCATTTCTCAAACAGTCCTGACCATGTTCTTTAGCTGGGGCTCTGGGTGATTAGAATTCACAACTGCTAATCTGTACAGGGTACTCTTTAAATGGTGAAATACTAAACTTTTTCTTAAAAAAAAAAAA